CTGGTAATTCTAATTTTTTGAGGAACCTCCATATTGTTTTCCACAGTGGCTACACCAATTTGCCTTCCCACCAATGGGCAGGACAGTTCCTTTTTCTCCATATCCTTGTCAGCACTTGTTATTTCGTCTTTTTTATTTGAGCCATTCTGATTTGATTTGAGCCATTCATTGTGGTTTTGATTTGCATTTCCCTGATAAGTGATGTTGAGTATCTTTTCATGTGTATGTTGGCCATCTGTATGTCTTTTTTGAAAAAATGTCTATTCAGGTGCTTTGCCCATTTTTTAAGTGAATTATTTGTTTTGGGGGGGGGTTGAGTTGTAGAAGTTCTTTATATGTTTTTTACATTAACCCTTTATTGGATATATCTTTTGTGAATTTCTCCTCCCATTCAGTAGGTTGCCTTTTTGTTTTGTTGATGGTTTGCCTTCATTGTGCAAAAGCGTTTTATTTTGATGTGGTCCTAGTAATTTAATTTTGCTTTGGCTTCCCTTGGCTGAGGAGACAGATCTAGAAAAATGTGACAGCTGATGTCTAAGAAATTACTGTTTTCTTTTGCAGGTTTTATAGTTTCAGGTCTCACCTTTAATCCATTTTGAGTTTATTATTGTGTATGGCATTAGAAAGTGGTCTAGTTTTCCCAGCACCATTTATTGAAGGGGCTGTCATTTCCCTGTTATGTTCTAGCCTCCTTTGTCATAGGTTAATTGAGCATATAAGCATGGTTTTATTTCTGGGGATGTCTATTCTGTTCCATTGATCTATGGGTCCTTTAACATGCTACTACCATACTGTTTTGATTACTACAGTTGTGTAATTTGTAATCTGGGATAGTGATACATCTCTAATTTGTTCTTCTCAAGATTGCGTTGGCTATTGGGAGTCTTTTTGGGTTCCACACAAATTTTAGAATTTTTCTAGTTCTGTGGAAAATGTTGGTATTTTGACAGGTATTGCATTAAATCTGTAGGTTGCTCTGGGTAGTATGCAGTTTAACAAGATTGGTTCCTCCATTCGATGACCATGGTATCTTTTTATTCCATTTTGAGTTTGCTTCATCATGGTTTTATAGTTTTAAGAGTACATGTCTTTCACCTGCTTGGTTAAGGTTCATCCTAAAGTTTATTCTTTTTGATGCAATTGTAAATGAGACTTTAATTTTTCTTTCTGCTACATTATTAGTCTGTAGAAATCTAACAGATATATGTTACATAATCTGTTACATAATGTCGATTTTGTATCCTGCAACTTTACTGAATTCATTTATTAGTACTAGTAGTTTTTTGGTGGAGTCTTTAGGATTTTCTGTATATAGCATTGTGCTATCCACAAAAGTTTTACGTCTTTCCAGTTTGGATATCTTTTGTTTTTTTGCTTGTCTGATTGCTGTGGCTCGGCTTCCAGGTAAGTGTTGAGTGGACGTGTGTGTGTTTCTGATCTTAGAAGTAAAGCTTTCACCATTGAGTATGTTAGTATACTATAGGTTTTTTCATATGTAGTTTTTAATACGTTGAGATGTTTCCTCTAAACGTACTTTGAGAGAATGCATGTTGTACTTTGTCGTGTGCTTTTTCTGCATCCATTGAGACGATAATATCTTTTTATCTTTCATTAATGTGATATAGTACATTGATTTGCAAATTTTGAATCTCCATGGATTAAATCCTACTTGACTGGGGTAAATGATTTTTTTTAATGCATGATTTAGTGTGGTAATATTTTGTTGAATTTTGCATCTATATTCATCAGAGATTGGTGTGTCAACTTTTGCCTCGTAACTGAAGGAGCAGCCTTTTGGTCTGGTTGAGTGTACCATGATCACATGTATTTTACATCACAAATGTTCCAGCTCTTGATTAAACCTCCACACTGTGGCCTGGGTATACATTCATTGCCTAAACCACTTTTTGCCAAAATTTAAGTGTACATGAAGACGTGCTGGACTTTGAGATACCTAAAAGAATTCCTTTAAATTGTAAGCCACGTGTACACAATAGATGGGAAGAGTGTATGTTAGTTCCCTATCAGTCCTGTAACCAAGCTGCCACAAATTTAGTGGCAGGGCCAACATCTGCTTTAAGGCAGAATCTATTTCTTGCTTTTCCAGCTTCTGGTGGCTGCCAGCATTCCCTGGTTTGTGGCCACGTCACTCTACTCTCTCCCTGTAGTCACATAATCTTCTGTCTGCAATTCCCCTCTTACAAACACACTTGGGATTACATTTGGGGTTTACTCAGATAATCCAGCATAATCCTCCCATGTCAAGATCATTAACAATCATATCTACCAAGTTCATTTTTGCTATATAAATTAACATTCACAGATTCCATGGATCAAGATGTGGGTATATTTTGGGGGACCATTATTCAATCACAGTGTGTTAAGGCTTGAAAATAGATCAAGTTAAAGTTCTATCACTTTATTCACAAATCAGTTTTAAAGAGGACTGAGTTTAGGATTAATTACTCCCCACCCCTCCTTGTATGTTATTTTCTTATATATACAAATAGCAAAGAGCCCAGTGTACCCAGAACAGGCTTAAGTAATTATTACTTTTATACTCGGAAGTTTCCTGGTTTGCTTAAATCATATGGTCCTCCTGTTTATAAACAGCCTTGAGTTCCCAGAGACCTGAAAGTTCTACCAGAATTGTTTTAAAACCAAATTTTTTACTGTTGTTTTGGGATATATTCTTATTTATACCTCAGTTACTAGACAGATAATGTCAGGCATCCTTTCTGAAAGACTAGAGTGGTTGCAAACTGTGACCAAAACTTGGTGAAACCAGTTCGAAGATCATGTTAGACACAAGGCTCAGGTCTGGTTGGCAGACTTCTAGGCTGCCATGCAAGCATAGGTAAGGGCAGGTATAGGTAGGAATAAAGGAAGCTGGCTCTGGTAGCCCTTCTTGGAGCTTTCTTTCTCCAATAGGAAGGACAGATGTTCTCAGGAACCTCCACAATTCACACCAAAAATTTAATTTGCTTCATATACTAATGAGACCTATTTTCAGTTAGTTTAAGCCCATAAGAGAATGTTATGGTTTTACTCAATACTATGGTAAATAAAGTACCTATCTTTTTATTTAAAGGACAGATAGAAAAGCTTGAATGTAATATTTATTTGGTGAATTTACATGTGAGGTCATTTACAAAAGAAAAGATACAGACAAATGCAGCTTTCAGTGCAGTTTCAAATTTTTCAGAACAAGCAATAGTCCATGAGGATTTGGAATGATAGTATTGAATGGCACATGCTTCAGTTTCCTTCGTGTCTTTTTCTACCCAACCCCAAAGGGTAGGAAGGGAGAAGAGTAGAAGAAAATACCAGTGTTAATATAAATATAGCCATGCAAATAAAAACTTTAAGTCCGAGGTTATTCAGATATGTAGAACATTTCTGTATTCAGGGATCATGATAATAGGTACATAGTTTAAGAACTAAAATGCACAGCTCTCAAACTTTCCATTATCCAGGCCATCTTCAGTTATGTTAAACTGTCCCCACTAGAGGCCTCCTCAGTGTCTTCCAGACTGACTTTGGAAGGGGTCATTTCTCATTTTCTAAAAAAGTAGCACTTGTAGACAGAATCTTTTTGACTTCATTAGGATAAAGCACCCTCTTACAGAGGGATACAATGCTCCTTTACTCCCAAAAATGTAAACTAATTAGAATTCATTTCCAGAGTGTAACCAAAGGCTTGCTTGCTTTTTTATTATACTCAGACTTAAATAAACCTCTCCCAACTCCAAATATCTCAAAACGAGACACTTTAAGAACACAACCTCTCTCCCACCAGAAAAATCCAGCATATTAACAAAAGGATGGTCTAGAAAAGTGACAATTGGAAAACAAAAACAAATTTTTTTTTTCAGTAAGAAGGTGAAGTAAAGATAAAACTGTCAGTGTCCCTAGTAAAGATCTAGGCATGGGCAGTCAGGCACTAGAGAGCAAGGTTAGCTCCAAACTAAAAAGCATTCCACATTTCTTCAGCACTTCTGAAAATACTGGCTTAAAATTCTTTAAGCACACATAGCCATAGTTAAAACACTAAACTTACCACCTTAGGAAATACTATGCTTCTGACTCCAAAACATATCCTTTTGGAACCTTTAGCCACATTTCTGCACTACAAATTTTAAGCTAATTAAACACTCCCATGTATTACACTTCATCTTTATACACACAACCAACCTGAATTTTCTTTCAAAAGTACACTATTAAATAGTGTGCCTAATATAAAAAATAGCCACAGGCAATTAAAACCCATTTCTATTTCATCTTACCTCTTGCCTGGTTCACTCACCCATTAATTTTCAGTCTTCCAGCATATATACCAGAATATTTGGTTCTGTGTGATTTACTGTACGAAAGCCAGTTGCTATAGACTTTAGGAACAATGTACATTATCCACTGGAGTTGAATGGGGTCAAAAGGCTTAAGTTGCCACTGAATCTAACAATTCTGCAGAATCAGAGGCATTGTGCATGCTGACAGTGGTTTAAAGGGTCTCAGTTTTGCTGCCTTCAAAACAAAATCCCCATTTAAGCTTTGTTTCCTTAAATAAAAAACTAAAGGGATTAACTGAATCAAAGAAACTTGTTTTACAGCACTTACTAT